ATTAACTCAAAATATTTTAACTCCTAACCATTTTTTTTAACTTTATTCAACTCCACTGGACCAAATATCCACTCCTACCAACATTGTTCATTTATTGACACGTGTTCTGGGCTTTCGTTGAGTTAAAAGCTTGGGTTTTTAGTACACTCTTGGTTGCCCAGCAAAACCGACACCAAGCCCAACTGTGTTCCAATCCTTAGAATGAAAACCAATTATGTTCACTACTTCGGTTAATTACTATAAGTCCCTCTATTATATTAAAAATTCTATTTCAATCCTTCTACTGTTAAAAAGGATATTTTAGTTATTACATATTTATAAATTAACCAAATCGATAATTCGATAAAAATAGTTTAATCCATATATCTCTCAAGTCCCGTCTTTTCTTCATTTTATACAAACCGTAATTATTTTCATTACTTCTTTTTTCTTGGTCATCATCGATGACTCTTTAACACTTAACAAATTTCGCACAAGACAACAGGTTATGTGATTAGTTTACTTTGTAATCCTGAGAGTTGGCTTCCATATAACTGTTAAAAGTATATGCTAGTAGTTCAAAATTTGAAGTAAAGCAAATATGTTAAGTGTTGACGGATATCTCTGAGAGTTAGTTATATAGGAGAGATCATGGGAAATATAACTAACTCTCAGGGATGTTTTATATGTTAAGTGTTGGCGTCCATATTTTAAGAGTAAATGCCAGATTGAGCTATGTGAAGCAATGAGGTTTTTTTATTCTGTTGCTTATATGTTGCTAGGTTTAGGTTCCTTGTGGCCATCGTACTTTGGGTTATTCAGTGTGCTGAACTCATGTTATGTTTTTGTTCTACTTTGACTCGTTCATATTGCACTTTTTTTTCCTTCATTTAAGATTAGGGAGGTTTTTAACGAGACCCATGTTCGAGTCTCGTTTTGTATCTATTGCAAAGTATAGAATACAAAACTCCATTTAAAAAAACATTCTAATAGTGATTTATAAACAATCAAAAGCAATAAGGCATGGCAATCAAAGACAGTTAGTGTAACACATTCTCCTTGATCTGGACATTCGATCAGATAAATAATGTCATATTCTGATAATATACAAAATCAGTAAAATAAATAAATTTGAAACAAGAATCATCAGGAACAAGGACCAAATTACAAATGTTGCAAAAGTTCAAGGGCATAGTCAAGTTTAAATTTTAACACAAAGTGTAATTAGGAGCCTTTTTATACTGAATAAGCAAGTTTGTTTCCACAAATCAAACAATTTTAATGGTTAAATAGATAATTTTTATCTTTAGAGGTTTCAGGTTCAAGTATATCGTATGCAGGGACGGAGCTCCCTTAAGGCCCAAGGGGCCCTGACCTCTGTTAAAATTTATATATTCAATATAATTTTGGTTTAATAGTATTTTGGTTCATGTAAAAATAAATATTTAAATTTAAAAAATATAAAAAATTATTAAACATGTAATCAAGTAGGGGTCAAACTAAAGAATGATAAGTCAGTGTTCTCAATATTTTGGTCTAATTACAATTGAAGTCATTTAAGTTTAAATATTAGACAAATTATAAGTTGTCTTTTGAGTTTTGAGTATTTTTCTTTAATTTAGAGTGAATACAAGGTAATATATGTACAAAGACTTTCAACTATTTGACAATGAACGCTCATACCCCTACATAAGTGCTTGAACTCGGGACCTCAAGGATAACATCAATCTCTTAATCACTAAGGTCACATGGTTTATGATGAATTTCGAGTTTAAATATTTAATAAGTCTTTATATTTTTCTTAAATAGTCTAATATTTCAGCCCCTGCCAATATTTAATTATGGTTCCGTCCCTAATCATATGTAGGAGTGTTTGCACACTCATGGTCAAGTGGTTGAGAGTTTTTCGAACATATACTATCTTATAATCATCACAAACTAATAAAAAAAGTGTGCTCCCTTAAGTTATAGGTTTAGGGTTATTTCAATTCTCTCGTGGATTTCTTCAAGCTTTTAGAGATTTATTTAATACTATGTTTTTTTAGTTTTATTTGTAAGATCCCCTATATGGACACCTAATTACACTTTGTGTTAAAATTTAAACTTGACTATGCCCTTTAATTTTTGCAACATTAGTAATTTGGTCCTTGTTCCTGATGATACTTGTTTCAAATTTATTTATTTTACTGATTTTGTATATTATCAGAATATGACATTATTTATCTGATCGAATGTCCAGGTCGAGGTGGATGCGTTACACTATCTACGTCTTTGATTGCCGTGCCTCATTTGCTTTTGATTGTTTTTTAAATCACTATTAGAATGCTTTTTTTAAATGGAGTTTTGTATTCTATACTTTGCAATACATACAAAACGACACTCGAACATGGGTCTCTTTAAAAAAGCTTCCCTAATCTTAAATGGAGGGAAAAAAGTGTAACATGAACGAGTCAAAGCAGAACAAAAATCGAACATGAGTTCAACACACTGAATAACCCAAAATACGATGGCCACAAGGAACCTAAACCCAACAACATATAAGCAACAGAATAAAAAACCTCGTTGCTTCACACAACTTAATCTGGCATGTACTCTTAAAATATGGACGCCAATACTTAACATATAAAACATCCCTGAGAGTTAGTTATATTTCCCATGATCTCTCCTATATAACTAACTCTCAGAGATATCCCGTCAACTTTGTAACATATTTGTTTTACTTCAAATTTTGAACTGCTAGCGTATACTTTTAACAGTTATATGGAAGCCAACTCTCAGGATTTCAAAGTAAACTAATCACATAACATGTTGTCTTGTGCAAAATTTGTTAAGTGTTGAAGAGTCATCGATGATGACCAAGAAAAAAGAAGTAATGAAAATAATTAGAGTTTGTATAAAATGAAGAAAAGACGGGACTTGAGAGATATATGGATTAAACTATTTTTATCGAATTATCGATTTGGTTAATTTATAAATAAGTAATAACTAAAATATCCTTTTTAACAGTAGAAGGATTGAAATAGAATTTTTAATATAATAGAGGGACTTATAGTAATTAACGAAGTAGTGAACATAATTGGTTTTCATTCTAAGGATTGGAACATAGTTGGTCTTGGTGTCGGCTTTGCTGGCAACCAAGAGTGTACTAAAAACCCAAGCTTTTAACTCAACGAAAGCCCAGAACACGTGTCAATAAATGAACAATGTTGATAGGAGTGGATATTTGGTCCAGTGGAGTTGAATAAAGTTAAAAAAAATGGTTAGGAGTTAAAATATTTTGAGTTAATCGAGTTTAGGAGCTTAGTTTTATTTGATTTTTTTTTAATTTTAATCGAGTTGTTTGAGTTTTTATTTAAATTTAATTACAAATATTTATAGGCATAATGATTAAAATACCCACAATGTTTGCACAAATTGTCATTTTGTCTCTCTTTTTTTTGAAGTATTTTACCCCGACGTTTTAATTTTTTATCTAAAACAAACAATGTTTGACGAAAATCATTAGTTAACTAACTGTTAACTTATGTTGTTGATGTGATATGTGTCACGTCATTCAAAATGATTGTGTAACATGTGTTACGTCACCAAACGTGATAATACGACATATCACACATCAGCAATTGAACACATGTGAAAAATATCACGTTAGTAATATGAATTGAATGTTAGTTAATTAACGATTTCCATAAAAAAAGATTTGTTTTGACCAAAAATTAAAATGTTAGAGGGTAAAATGCTCCCAAAAAAAATAATACGGTGCAAAACAATCATACATGCAAATATGGGAGGGTAATTTTATAATTATGCCTTATTTATAATATTATGGTATTAATGGATTTTAATTTAAATAACTTTCTATAATCATATACGACATAAATATATATTTCTTCATATTTTTTCATTTATGATATGCATATATCATACAGAGGTGAAGGATACAACTCAAACTTAAAACCAATCCATTAATTACTAAAAGTTTTGAGTTAGTCGAGTTGATGAGTCTTATTTTATAATTCAATCTTTATTTGGAAATTTTCGAGTCGAGTTGATGACTTTCTATAACCATCTATGATATAATAATAATAATAATATTATTTTTTCATTTGATCAAGACTCAAGAGTTGTCGTGTCATTGGTATTGATTGGATGTCCTAAGAAGTAATGATTTAGACTAATTTGTTATCAAGAGAGACCACATGTATCAACACTTGATCGTTGGTGATCATACACAAGATGTATTCGTAGGATAGCAGGTAAACGACACGTGGTAATTGCTTGTTGTTCGTGGGTACGCTCCGCATATATGCATTTCTAGAGCTCGCATTTGCATACATAAAGGTTCGCACAAGTAGTACATTCACACACCCGGAGGTTCGTGGAACTAGAGGTTCGCAAGTAGTAACACTTGCCCCTAGGTGAGTGAAGGTTATAAAGTGACAATTGTAATGTGTTCAATCTACGCTCACCATATCAATTACTGAAACTCCAAAGAATCCTAAGCCTCAACTTATCACCATTCACTTCATTTAAACCTCGACCAAATCTAATATGAAAATAATAATCAATTAATCCCTTCTACATGAATGAAACATGGAATTATTATAGATTTGTTTGTCATGAGAAAAAAAAATAACAATCAATATGATCAATCTCAATGAAGTGACTTGAATAATTACATTTTAGCTATAAATGATCGATTGGGTAAATCTTTTCCACGAGGGTATGGTTAATTTTTTTACTGAGGTTTTTTACCCCATTATGTAGGGTACCCTTTGTTATTTTTATTGTGTTAATTTTAAAGTATTTAGTTATATATATTTACAGAAATCTTAATATAATTCTTATGTAGGCTTAAAATATGTACTAACATGTATAGTCCAAAAAAAAGTACTATCATGTACCTCAAGAAATTCTAAAATACTTCATTTGACTTTTTCGAGACGAAGAAATATAAATAAAATTCATTTTTACTTCAAATAATTAAGCTAAAAATTGATTTAGAGGCAAAAAAAAAATAACGGTGACATAATAAAAAGACCTCTCTATTATGCATATAAAAAAGCACCATACATGACTTAAATTACATTAGACATTGAAAGACTTATTAAAGGGGAAGGGGTTGTTGGAGGAAGACTTGAACACAAGTCATTTATTACCCAACTTCCCTTATTTTGATATTAGTAGTGCATACAAAGCATCATTTTTAACCAAGACAGAAGGAGATCAAGCTTCCTCGAGTTTTGCATCCAGGTTTGGCTTAACGCTGGTTGGATCAATTTCAAGACTCGACTTGAATCCGAGATTACTCGCTGCAGCACTGTTGGTAGCCTTTTTCAGTTGTACATTGATGTTGTCCCAATTAATAGGGCTGTCAGTAGTAATCTCAGTATAGACCTGCAGTTGGAAGAGATTTAATTTATGTGAAATTTGGTTGATTTATTTCGTGACTAATAACAAAGAATAAGAAACAACAGATTGGATCTTAATGACGAGTTTGGTATAAAAAATGCATACCTTATTCACTTCATTTACCCCATTCCTCCAGGCAACAACCCACTTAATGTTTTGTTTGATAACAAACACAGTTCCGCCTATGGAGGATCCGACATTGGAATCAGCCAAGTGTTGAAAATACCGTGTCTGATGCGCCGGAACATTTAGCTGATTTCCGGATCCATACCAATCTTTCTTGTCGAACGTGCTAAAATCTTGATCGGTTTGATTGTTCAGATACACCTCTGTAGATATTGCAGGACCAACCTTGCTTGGAGCAGCATGTCTCTCTTAGTTTGATATTTGCAAGTACCTTATGCTATTGTTTTGGTTGTGTAGTGGTTACTACAAACCCATATATATATATACTAGTTTCCAGCCCAGTAGATGACAAAAGTTGTTATAACTATATTTCTCACATGTTGGTTACTTTAATTATTATCATGTGGTTGTTGTAACTATAATATACTCTCTTTTTAAAAATAAAATGCTGTGTAATATATTAGCATTTGTCTAATTAGTTCATTGTTTAATTACCATTAAACAAATATTTACAGTTTAATGGTAAAACTGTAAAATATTGAAGTATACAAATTGAAAAATATAGGATGTTAATATCCCATATTACAGTTTTCAACTGTAAAATAATTATAGTTACAACCCATGTGTAAATATGGGATGACAAATGCTATGTTTGATTTTCGTAAACCATATTTTCCAATTTACAGTTCAATGCATGTTTTCTAAATTGGAAGAATCCTGTAAGTCATAATCCTTGCACCAACCAATATTGTAATCGTTTTCACCCCGCATTCTAGATCTGTAGAAAAATACAACGTTGCTGATGGTTCATCCCACTAGTTGCACAGTTGGAATACAACAGTTACAAAGTTGTATGCAATGGGAGCTCTGTAGACAAATACAAAGCTGTGCAGTGAGCAGTGGGCGCATCTGAAAAATAAAGCAGTTTTTCCAAGAAAAAAAAGCACTAATAAAAGTATTTTTAGCATGAGTAGTAGCCATAATAAACGCCACAAAGAATAGCAACTTATCAAAACAAATAGTAATTACAGGCAAGTAAAATTCATTAGCATTGTTATAGACAGTAGCTCAGGGTTACCAATTTTAGACATGAGCTAACAAAGAATCAATGAAGGTGGCCATTCTGAGTTTGGTTTCACGAAAAGGGTTTGTAATTGATCACCTGAAGTTGACTGCATCCAAATTCATATCTTCCAAGGTCATTCAAGGTAAATATAATTCCTTAGCATTGTAATAGATAGAAACTCATGCTTTCTGGTTCTAGACATGAGTTAACTAGGAATTAAAGAAGGTGACCATTCTGGGTTTAGTTTAATGAAAAGGGTCCGTAATTGATCGACAGGAAGTTGACTGCACCAAATTCATAACTTCCAAGGTCCCACTTTCAGATGGTTGCAAATCCATAGTTATCATAAACATGATGTTATGGTTTGAGAGAAATAGAAGAGAATCGAGAAAGAAGTAATAGGAAATAGAGAGAATTTTAGAGAAGAAAATATTTGTTCATTCATAACATATGGGAAATATTCTCTCAGCCGTTTTTATTTAATTACAATGCTAATAGAAAATAGCCAGCTGGCGGTCCTTTCTAACAGAATATAACAACTCATTTAACATTCTTCTTTTGCAGATATTGAACTAGTGTACTCAGGCTGCTTTACTTCTTCTTGGGTCTGCTCTAGCTTCTTCGGATCCGGTTCGGCCTACTCCACATCAGAAGGTAAGTGATTAACCTCTCCCTCATGTGCCTCAATCCCCAATCTTTCATGCTCAATCACTAACCCTCGCATTTCTTCCCCCAATTCTTCTTCGTGCTCTCGCCCTTCTCCTTCCACCATGACAATTCCTCCCCCTCCCACCATGACAATTCCTCCCCCCTTTAGACGATCCTTGTCCCCAAGGATCAAAGTATTGAATTTGTGGTAGTAAGACCACAAAAATCTTCCAAGTTACAAAAGATGGAAGTCCATCCCAACTAATTAGCCATTGCTTGTAACCAACAACACCCAATATCACCTGGTTAAAATGATCCCTAGGATGCACCGTCGGAACATGTCCCAATCTCATCAATTCAACATTGGCTAAAATCACTTGTGCAGTCCATTTAGCCAACTTATTCGCATTGTCCTTGTGATTTATATATGCAGCTTCAACGCTCAAGGAATAAGCTGAGTTGATATTATCTTTAACTTCAAGTAATGGCTCCTGAGATGTCTCGAGGACAGTTTTCAGTCTAGTCTCTTCATGGAGAAACACTAAGCCTCTAGCTATTCCAACACAAATCTTTTTCCAAGTATGCGAGTTTTTTGGTCCAAACAAAGCCCGAGAAAGGCTATTATTTTCCAAGTACTCGTATACTAGCAACAATTGATTTTCTTCAATACAACAAATGTAAAGTTTCACAAGATTAGGATGCTGCCAACATGAAATCATGCCCATCTCATTCAATAATTCACGGTTTCCCTAACTCGACTTTGAAGAGGGCTGCTTGACAGCGATTATTGTTCCATCGGCTAGCTGACCCTTGTAAACAGGTCCAAATCCACCTTCATCAATCTTGTTTCCAAAATCAAAGTTGTTAGTTGCCGCCATTATTTGCTTTAAGGTGAAAGAAACTGTTTGCAGATCCAGTCCCTTGAGATCTTGTTCTCTCTGGCTCTTGGCTTTAAAATAGTATCTCTAGATTAGAATCCTAAATGCCAAGAATACGAGAACTGATCCTACAAGACCAATGACAATTGGGAAAGTCTTTGTTTTCTTCTCCTCATGCTTGGGTCTGAAATTGGGATCGACTGAGATGGCTGATATGAGTTGGCCATGGACTCCTCGAACAGGAATTGCTTGAGTGCCTTTTCCATCCTCAAGAGCAAGAATAGTCTCTCGGAACTTGTGGCCAGCTTCTTTAACCGCCTTGTTGTCTTCTAATCCAGCATCCTCAAAAGCTGAGAAAGCATTTGCAGACAAAATTTCTGCCCACTTGTAACTGTAATATCCAGTAGCATATCCACCTGCAAATATATGGTTCAAAGCACAAAGAAATCTATCTTCCGGCAATGGAGGGATTACTTGTGTTTTTCTAGAAACTCTCTAATCAACGTCATAAATAGATTCAGACCCATCTGGTATATATTTTGTATGCAACTCGAAATCCAGGCTAGCAAATTTAATCTGACAAAGGCTTAGAGAACCAACACAGAAAGTCCTTGCAGCAAGGAGCTTCAAATATACCTCTTCAAGCAGGCTCTCCCCTGTTTGATAATTTTTTGCAATGCTCATCAGTGTATCCCTGTGATAACACCAATTTTCCATGAGCTGGGACAGCAACTCAACAGCATCCCACTCAATCCCCCGAATGCCAGCTACTAGACCCTAATCTTGCTTAGTCAGCATATGCTGAAGTGCATGGCCAAATTCATGGAAGACAGTTTCTACTTCACGAAATGTCACGAGGCTTGGCTTGTGCCCGAATGGTGGTGTTTGATTACACACCATGTGAGCAATAGGTAACCTTGAGGTGGTACCATTACGTGACAGTACTCGACTTCGAGAAACGACCTCATCCATCCATGCACCTCTACTTTTCTCTGATGTACGAGAGTATGGATCAAAATAAAAGTAGGCAATTGGACTACCTGAAGAGTCTTTGACACAGTAGAACGGCACATCATTGTTCCAGACAGGAGCCAGACCATCAGCTGGTTCAATATCAATCTCGAAAAGTACATTGGAAAGGTTGAAAAGGCCATCCATAACCTTTGAAAATGAGAAATATGGTCGGAGTTCTTCTTCATTGGTGTTGTATTTTGACTCACGAAGCTTCGTACTCCATAAACTCCTGTCCCAATGGCTCAAATTATCAGCTTCTGTAGGACCTTGACTTTTGGAGAAACTTCTCAAGTCTTCAAAATCCTGGACAGCAGCATTCCACGAAGCACTCCGAAGCTTTTCTAATAGTTCCTCAGCTTTATCAACAGTTGCCATTTTTGTTGCCATGCTTACCTCAGCATAATTTTTGTAATTGAGAAGCTTAGCCTTCTCTAACCGAAGTTTCAATATATGATTGATGATTGGTGTATTATCCAAATCACCACTTGATGCCCGTGTTATATAAGCACGGTAAACTTCCTCACGCAAAGCACGGTTACGAGCATGTTGCATAACTGAAATAAAACCCGGAGCATCAAGCGTAATCATCCATTCCAGTTTTTGTTCTTCATACCACTCACGCTGGGAATCACTTTTCAAGTGTTGGGTACTAGTGATAGATGGCATTTTATCAAACACTTGACACCCATCATTTGTGCCTTTAATTGCAGCTGGTAACGACCCCATTTCAGGGCTGTTTTGGTCTTGCTCCGCCGTCTTTCCTGTCAAGACCCCCAGTATCTGCTCCATGTAACTTTGAGCGTCATCATCCTAGCTTCCAACGAACTGATACGTTTATCTTGTGCCTCCCACCACTTAGGAGGGTTGGTTTCATCATTTGCTTGCTGCACTGTTTTCTTTAAATCCTCAATCTGCTTTTTAATGTCAGAGAGATCAGTAGATTCGACCATGGTTAGGTTCTTCTTTTGCATATCCAGTCTGCAATTTGCCAGGAATTAAGGCTCCTGATACCAATTACTATGGTTTGAGAGAAATAGAAGAGAATCGAGAAAGAGGTAATAGGAAATAGAGAGAATTTTAGAGAAGAAAATATTTGTTCATTCATAACATATGGGAAATATCATCTCAGCCGTTTTTATTTAATTACAATGCTAATAGAAAATAGCCAGCTAGCGGTCCTTTCTAACAGAATATAACGACTCATTTAACCACCTTCTTTTGCAGATATTGAACTAGTGTACTTGGGCTGCTTTACTTCTTCTTGGGTCTGCTCCAGCTTCTTCGAATTCGGTTCGGCCTGCTCCAAATCAGAAGGTAAGTGATTAACCTCTCCCTCATGTTCCTCAATCCCCAATCTTTCATGCTCATTCCCTAACCCTCACATTTCTTCCCCATATTTGTTCATTCATAACATATGTGAAATATCCTCTCAGCCGTTTTTATTTAATTACAATGCTAATAGAAAATAGCCAGATTACGGTCCTTTCTAACAGAATATAACAACTCATTTAACCTTCTTCTTTTGTAGATATTGAACTAGTGTACTCGGGCTGCTTTACTTCTTCTTGGGTCTGCTCCAGCTTCTTCAGATCCGGTTCGGCATGCTCCACATCAGAAGGTAAGTGATTAACCTCTCCCTCACGTGCCTCAATCCCCAATCTTTCATGCCCAATCCCTAACCCTTGCATTTCTTCCCCCAATTCGTCTTCGTGCTCTCACCCTTCTCCTCTCACCATGACACATGACAGCAACAGCTACCAATTAATGCATGCATTTATCAACTGACGGTAATTGGTTAGCATGTTAATACTTGGAAAGCAAGTTGAATCCTTACCAGCCATTGTTCGCCCAATACTTGTATTCGATCCATTTTTATCAATGGCATCAATCAGATGCAGTTGCTTTAAAGCATCTTTGAATGACTCAGCTGCAATTAAACCAAAGATTCAATATCTTGCAAAAGCTGAAAGAAACATCAAGTCATCGACTTGCTAATTTGAACAACATCAAGGGAGTACATTCCAGTTGCTGCGTTGTATTGATATTGCTTCACGTGGCCAGAATCAACAACATACCTAGAAATATAATGATACTTAATTTAAAGAGAATCAATCAACATATCATTGCTATTGATCTTATTAACTGAGACCAAGTGCAAAAGCAGGTGGCAGAATTATGTATACATTACAATTGATCACAGTATTGTAGTTACCATTGGATCATATACAAGTCTTAATACTCAGCATAACCCTTAAGACCAAATCTTAGTGACTTCATCTGGGTAGAAAATGGTAAAATTAAGAAGCAAAAAGGAAAATGAATAAAGGATAGTAAACCAAACTATAACATTGATATTTCAATAAAATAATTATGAAACATTCTACCATTGATGTGTTTGATCATTTATGTAATTAAATATATAATACAAAGACGGAAAGTCCTTCCACTATATATTTAGAATAGCCTTGTCTCTGTTATGTCTCTGTTTTTCGACATGGAGACCAAGGACTTCACCGCTTCTTGGTTTGTAGTTGACCATTTATGCTAAAGACATAATGCAAATAAATACTCCTAACGTTTGGCAATATATATAATTTTGGCCCTATTGTTTTTTTAGAACATTTGACCTCCTCACGTTTCATTTGGGTCAAAAAACACCATTGTTAGAAGAAAACCGTTTGTAAACTGGAAGTCAAAGCCTGAAGCTGACTCAGCAAGAACATGTGGAGAGAAATGCTGACATGGCATATCCATATCATAGTAGATGATGACATGGCAAATCCACGTAGACTAAATACTGACGTGGCATGTCCACGTTTGATGACACGTCAGTAATTTTTAAAAATTAATTAATAATAAATAATTATTTTTAATAAATTAATAGTAACCAATCAGATGTTGCCACGTGGAACATTGATTTTTTTATTAAATTAAGAAAAGAGGGATTAAACTTTCACAAAATTTTGCAACTCATGGGATTTGAACTTGGGTCTAAGGGTGCGTTTGGTTCACGGAATGTAAAATTATCAGTGGGAATAGGATTACCGACGGGAATAAGATTACTGGAATGTTATATTTTGTGTTTGGTTCGTTTAGCAGGAATGTAAGATTACAGTGTTTGGTTAAAGGAATAAAAGATTATTGAAATGTATATTTTACCAAACTGTCCTTATTATATATTTTTTTTAGCAAGTTGAATTCTACTATAATATTAATATAATTAATTTATATATTTTCTTTAAAAAAATTAAATTCATAAAATTTATATAATTTTTTTTTTTACAAAATTGAAAAGATAAATATGTTTAATGAAAGGGTAAAATTTTATTTTAACCCCTGAACTTCATATAAAATTCTAAGGGTGCGTTTGGTTCACGGAATGTAAAATTACCAGTGGGAATAGGATTACCGACGGGAATAAGATTACTGGGAATGTTGTGTTTGGTTCGTTTAGTATGAATGTAAGATTACAGTGTTTGGTTAAAGGAAATAAAATATAATTATTATTACCAAAATTTTTTTTACAAAATCTAATAAAAAATTTCTTTAAAAAAATTCATAAAATTTATATAATTTTTTTTACAAAATTAAAAAGATAAATATGTTTAATGAAAGGGTAAAATTTTATTTTAACCCTTGAACTTCATATAAAATTATAATTATGGAACTTTTTTTTGTAAATCTAAAATAGTTTAAGGATAAATTTGTAATTTAACCTTCATAGAATTTTTAATATTGAACGACAGAAAAAATAATATTTTTGAGAAAAAAATTCAAGGGCATTTTAGTCTAAAACGCCGGTAATCCAACAATACCTAAGGGAAGAGAGTAATCACATTTCCGGTAATATACCCCAAAATACCACTGTTGGGGATAAAAGATTACCGGATAATAGGATTACTGGCCAACCAAACGGGGGAATGACATTCCGCTCCCCCAATAATCTCATATTACCTGAACCAAACACCCCCTAAGGGTTAAAAGCC